GCCATAGAGCAAGGGTCTCAAACTGGTGGCCTGGTGGCTGGATACGGCCCATTAAAGCTTCATATCCAGTCCATGGCCTTGATAAATTTTTTTTCTAAAAATCAATGTTTCTAACATCTTGCAGGGATTAAAATAGAAAAAATTCAAACTAAGCCAAACAATCACCATAATTAATCGAGCTATTAATAATGCTATGATTAATCATTAGAAATTATTGTTACTAGAAATTTGATACTAAAGTTAGACGTTAGGTGCCATATTTTATCTAAATTAATAATTACAATAATTTAATAATTTATTAAATAATTTAGAACCAACTGGAAAAAAAAGAACTAGTCTGGAGTGGGGCTTGAACCCATGACCTGTGCTTACCGTGTGGTGTGCTTGCCAGTTATACCATCTGAACCCCAAGCAAGCCATATTTCTAGATGTATTTAAATAGATATAACCATTCACAATTACTTACAGTGCTGACTGGGGCAACTCCTTTGCCTGCAGTCTACATAACAGCCCAATTAATTATGGTGAAATTGTTTGGCTTAGCATCAATACATCAGGTTTTGGGAAGATGATATTTACTGAAAAAAATTCAAATTTCTATTATGTCAAATGCCTGGCAACAAGAGAATCTTTGTTAGTGTATTTTTTTTTTATTTTGCAGTATGTATTGATTTACCGAATAATAATGAATCTGCTATACATTTATTTGACTGGCTTTTGCTGCATTTAAGTTTAAGATAACTGCAGTAAACATGTGGTTCCTTTGACTATTTTGTTCCTATCAATAAACTCTACAGCAGTGTTTCTCAACCTCTAACAAATCGTCGCCCCCCCTTCAATAAAACCGTTACATAGTATCGCCCCCTTCACTACAAAATTTTGATGCTGAGGAACAAGGCTAACGCCAAATTCGTACTGCATTGAATAGACTAGTGACTAGTATAATGTTATTTGTTTAATTATTGTACGATATAACGAATAAAATATCTAATTAATCTTAATATAATGTTTTACTATATCGCTCATAAAATTGTTTTTCGCCCCCAAAATATAAATTGTTACTAATCGCCCTGTCAACATGGAAAAACACCCACATGGGGGTGATATCGCTCCCGTTGAGAAACACTGCTCTACAGCTTTGGCCCAACCGTCTCATTCAGAGCTAGAATTGAGCCATATCATTCACAGCTACAATCTTACCGAATTAATTATACTGAATTAAAATACACAATAATTTTGAGATTTTTAATGTGATAATTGTAAACAAGATCAAATTAGGTTAATACAGTGGTTCCCAATTAGTTTTTCCTGCGTACCACTTCAAGAAAGAGCTCAAACTTGCATACCCCTTATAGCAGAAATTCATATTAATCCATACTAATACAGTAGAGCCTCAAAAACTCGGCCTAATGTGGACCGAAGGGTGGCCGAGTTTGTGAAAATGCCGGGTTATCGGGAATGAGGTTAAAAAAACTAAGTATGAATTTTTCCTCAGAAAATACTGTACTGTATTTGTATGCATTGCTTACTTGAGAATACAACAGAGAATAAACTGCCCAAATACCCTTAAACAAAGGAAAAGTACGACCTTTATGAAGGCATAGAGCCTTTACTACATGAAAATGAAAATTAATGAATACACTGTGTACAGTAATTTACCTGATAAGACAGACCCCAGAAAAATACTTTATGAGGCATAAAGCTGTCTATAATGAAAATTAATTAACTAAGGATTTTTTTGCCCTGCCAGGGTGTGGCCGAGTTATCCGGAGTGCTGGGATATAGAGTGCCGAGTTTTCGAGGCTCTACTGTATTATAAATTCGAAGGTAATTCTGTCTGCCTGTCTGTCTGTTACCTTTTCACGTCTAAACTACCGAACAGGTTTTAATAAAATTTGGCACAGAGATAGCTTACATGTTGGAGATGGACATAGGCTACATTTTACTGCAAGAAAATATCTTACTCCTATGAGAAAATTCAATATAATGCGGGCAAAGTTGTGGGTAGACAGCTAGTGATAAATAAAATAAGTTTTTTTTTTACATTTATTACCTTTAAAATACAATTCTAATAATAATGAAAATAACATAAGGTTATTTAATTTTAAGGTGACAAATGTGCAGTGGTGATATTCAGCGGGTTCGCACAGGTTCGGCCAAACTCACTGTTAACATTTTCAAAGTTTTCCGAACCTTGTCAAACACACATTTCTCAGTGGTTTTGTTTCTTTTAAAAAATATATTAAAATATACTTATTATACTCTGTAACACTACTAACTAGAGCTTTATACCCCATTTGCCTGCAGCCGGATGGCCGAGCGGTCAAGGAGGCAGCCTACTGCTCTGCGGGACCCGGGCTCGAATCCGAACGGGTCCCTTGGTGCGACCTCCCTTGACCGTTTCAATCTCAACTGAAACGAGATTCAATGGCAATCCACTCAAGAGAATTCTTGAAACTAGATCCAGTCATACGAGAGATCCCACAATTCCACATGCGCGAGAAAACACAAGATGGCTGCAGATCACTTGTCAGGCTATCAACAGCAAAATAAAAAAGATATTCTATTTCGAGAGACGATGACATCTGTCTATTACTAGATATATTGCAAGAAAAAGTACAGTAGATCCCCCTATAAAACCGTTTCCTATAGTTATGATTCCTATAAAAATTGTGGCATTATCCGTAAACAACGGTAAAAATAACTCCTATAATACGTAAAACGTCATCGGGCAGCCGAACTACTTACCCGCCGTCCGTAGCGCCACGCTACGGAGAGATTTCTATCGTCTGGACAGTATTATATAAATTATATATAAATTAGGTACTGTACATATAATTATATATTAATTATATATAAATTAGGTACTGTATATATAATTATATATTAACTTAATTTATTGTAACTTTATTATAA